TGAACCGCTTCTGCGTTCGGGTTCTCTCTAACTTTGTCCCATCTGTGACTCATGCTCACATTCACTAATTTTTCTTAATAGCATCCAAATGAGATTCTTTGAATACAAGATGATGAAACCTAGACGCTTAAATATTCATATCAGGCTCTTGCCGCGTACAATCGCTCACCTGCCCAAACCAGCCCAGACGCGGTAGGAGCATCCCACCGCCCAGACCCTTCCCACGTCCTCCAGCGGCTCCTCTGCCACCGCTCATGCCGTTAGTACTCGCTCTCCCCGCCACGTCCAAAACAGCTTCCTCATAAAGCACAACACAACGGAAAAGTTATCAAATGCTTCTTGGAAATGGCGGGGGGGGAACTGAAGATGGAAAAGAGAGATCTTAGGGCTCAGCCAGGCGGTAGGGCTTGACATGGGAGCCACGGGATGAAGCTGGGGTGCATCTGTTCATGCCTGGGATCAGCGTAAAGGAGTAATTTCCCCTCTTAGTTCAAAAAATACACCTTCTAAAAAAAAAGGGCTGGAGTCAACTTCTGAAGAAACGCAGCAATATTGTGCAGAGCCCCTCTCCCCGCCATTGGCAAGCCAGCTGTCTCCTCCCAGGGAAGAACCATAGAATCGCTGAGGTTTGAAGGGACCTTTAAGCTCATCAAGTCCAACCACTACCCTAACCTGACAAAACCACTTCTAAACCGTGTCCCCATCTACCCTTTTTTAAACACCTCCAGGGATGGCGACTCCACCACCTCCCCGGGCAGCCTCTTCCAATGTTTAATAACCCTTTCAGTGAAAACATTTTTCCTAATATCCAATCTAAACCTCGTCTGACATAAGATGAGGTTTTCTGTTCCTAAACGACGCGTTCTGCTCCTCGTCACCTGCAAGACAGACAAGCAGAGGTAGTCTGACCTGCCCACCACCGTCACGCTGGGACGGACTCCTCTCAAGCAGCTGACGGCAGTGAGACAAGCGAGGAGGTGATCGAGCGGGGACTACTCCGGCCATTTCACCTGCCAAAACTGGGGAGATGAGACAGGGTGGCCCCCGCCTGCTCCAGCACAGCACCCTCAGCCAGGCCAGCCGGGTTTCTGACCAGCAGCGCAGCACGCTCCCACCCGGCTCCATCGCTCCTAAAACTCCTTCTAGACTTTCTCCGCCATGATTTTTACGCATTTTTGGTGCTCACAGTCGGTTACAAAACACCATCCTCAAAACCGGGTAGTTTCTCTTGCAAAAGAAAGGAACAAAGACTGCTCAGTAGCTCAACTGCTCAAAACTTGTTATTTCTTTAAATCCCGGAAGGCTGATGGTGCTACAGGGGCCACGCTGCTGACGAGCAGCTACGGAATAGCAGACAGCAAATCTTAATTTGGCCTGTGCTCTGTTAGGCGTGATTAAAATGGATGACACGTGAAAGGAAAAGAGGGGGAAACCTGTTGTGCGGATGGGAGCAAAACTCCAGCCTGGACGGCGAGCACGGTGCCGGTGGTTTGAGAAGAGCACTGTACGGATTTTAGACACCGGCGTTTGTTCTGTTGGGTTTTTTTTCTTAAGGCAAACTGAAACTATTGCTCAAGGGACTGAGAAGAGTTACTGAGATCGTTACCAAAACCGAAAGACTTTATTGCACTTTCAGAGTCCCTCCTGTGACCCTGGCACTAAAATGACATCGGTGGAGCCGTGCCTTTGTGGGAGCACGCCCTGGGAAAACACGAAATTAATGACTTCGCTGCCGTTTAATTTAAGTCTCCGAGGAGCCATGACTCGGCTGAAGACCACTGCCAGAGAAATCCAGGGGTTTCTTTCAGATCAGTAGCGGGTAGAATAATTCATAAGATACTTTAACTTCTCTTTGCACCTAATTCTGTGGCATTCAACGTGCCACCGGTTTCCTTCTTTGCTCAACCAAAGCCGGGAGAGAGCAGCAGGTTCCCACCGAGCACCCCTCGCAGAGAGAACTGCCGGTGCCGAGAGGTAATAGCCGGACTCCAGAAGCGTTTTAACCAAGAATCTCTGCAAAATCTGAAGACTTGTGTCAGCAGCCAGCACTGTGAAGACAATGGGTAAGGAGCCACACCACACGCTCACTTCCACACTCCGCAACTGCTCCGCGCAGCGATGCCGCCATCCCTCCCGCAGGAAGTGAAGGGGAGTTACACGCGTGTCTAGCAGCGGGGAGGCACGGCGACAGAGACCCTGTCAGCAGGGAGCCCCCTCTTCTATTTTTCTTTCTCACACTCAAGTGAAGGGGAGTTACACGCGTGTCTAGCAGCGGGGAGGCACGGCGACAGAGACCCTGTCAGCAGGAAGCACCATCTTCTATTTTTCTTTCTCACACTCCTCTTTGTTGTTTCTCTGCCCACACCGAGACTACAACATGATTTTTCTCCTTAAAAGAATATTTAAAGTAATAAACATCGCTACGCGGTCAGCAAATGCTTCAGGTATGTTCATGATAAGCAACTTCATCTCAGCGTTCGGAACCGGGACCCTGCGTGCATAACCTATAAACACACTGTAATCCTTCAGTATCATCCACCTTGCAAGTCAGCGTGAGCTCCAGCTGGGCAGACTGGGAATCGCCGGAGGGGCAAAGACCGCCCGGGCGCCCCCCGGGCCATGCACGGGGTGGCCAAAGGGCCTCCAGGCAGAAGGTGTCTGACCCGAGAAACTGAAACCGAAACGACGTGTGCTGTCCCTTGTCTCAGCGAACCGCGCGGAACCCTTTCTCACCGCAGAGCCGCCGAGTAAAAGGTATTAGTACAATGTCCCACAACTTTGCTCTCAGCCAGTCCAGCCCCAAAGCATTTGTCTTCCCTTGCTGAGAGAAGAGGAAGGGCAAACATCTCTCATTCCAAGCACCCAGAAAAAATTAATGTATGTGAAAGTGTTCACAGACAAGAAAGAGTGAGGGTCTTCAGAGAAAGAAAAATGAGTACGTCACTCATAAGATACAAATACACTACTTTATGGGAATATTTCTGTTAATGTCTATTAAGGGAAACCTCAGATGTGGTATTATTTTTTGGACAATCCCCACCCCGTGGGGTGCCTGCCTCCCAACAGCCTCTCCTAACTGCTGCCTCGCTTATTCCCTGGGGGCGGCAGGGAAGGAGGCAGCCTGTGCAGCCAAGGACGGCCCCACTCTTCAGGGGACACCCAGGAAATGCCGGAATTCCCAGATCCTTCCCCACTGCCATCGAGGTTCTGGGCACACCTCTGTGCTACAGACAGAGCTCAGGTTTCTTTTATCCCCTACAGACCTCTACACTAATTTTGCCGGAATGATTTTATTTAGCCCGAAACGTTCTATCAACCATCCCGAGGCAAAACACCGCACCTGCTATTGCACTAGGTCATATAACTACGGGGAGGGACAGGTTAGTGTGGAGAGAACAAGAGACGGCCCCGCAGGAGCATCCCTCAGCCTGCCGGTGCCCGGGCAGTTTGCTGTCAGGGTACGTACGGCCCAAAGATCTCCCCCGGGAGCGCCAGGCCAGGACGTGGAGAAAGCAGTTATCTTTGATCAGAAATGACAGACACAGATGGGCTTCGATCAGACAGAATCAGGGGCAGGTTTACTTTTCACATAGTTTTCTGTATTAAAAAATACATCAGTGAAATCTGTTACAGGCAGGGACAGGACTACCGAGTACACAACGTCAATAGACTACTTTCTGATTTTATTTTTGTTAAATTACTTTTGTTACTGCTAAAAAAATAATTAAAAACCAAAACCAAACAAAACAAAAAAAAAGGAAATATAAATCAAGGCTGTTGATTTTCATCTCTTGAAATTTTAGTGACAAGATCAAATATCAGACCCCTGTTACAGAAGATGGATAACTGACCAGAGCTAGATAAAAACCATACAATTCTCTTCTTTAAAAATAGTTTGGGTTTCCAATGAATTTGTGACCACCGGTCATCAGAAACACACATCTATAGCTTGAGAAAACGGAGATACAGACAGTATCTGATAATGTCCTGTCCTCTAAACACAACGTGGGAGCTCTTCTCTTCAAAAAGACGCAGTAACAGCCAAGCCTTAAAAAAATCTCTTTCGATTTCCAACACTATGACTAAATCTCTTTGGGTGGGATGGGAAAAAAACACACATGGTAATTTTCTACCACAGTTCTGTTGTCAAAAGTAATACTGCATCCTTTGTACAACACTGCACGCGTTGCAAAGGTGGAAAGAGAAAGAGTGCATGGATCTTTCATTTGAAATGACAAGGCCCTCCAGATTCGCCTTATAAAATAACCAAAAACATAGGAGTGGGGAAAGAGGAGAAAGGAAAGCTGCCTTAAGGGAAAAAAAAATTTCCGCGCACCACAGTATTTGCTAGATTATATCGACAGACTGCAGAGCTACTGGGCTAGGTAAGGGATTTTCTGCACATACCCCAGGACAGTCACTCTCCTGTACATACCCCAGAAATGTTCGTCCTGTAACATGATTGCTCTGAAGTTTGACCTACAGCACCTCTTCCACGACGAAGACCGAACAGAGCTAGCGTTGGTAGTAGCCCGGACCGAGAGCTAGATTCTGGCACCGTGCGACCATTTAACAGCAGCCAGACCGTTTAGAGAGCTTCCCCGGCAGACACGCCAGCGGCTTCTGCCTTCCTAACATTTGATCCCAGTTTCAAAAAAATTATAAAAGCATATGTGTACGTGTATTTGTAACGGAAGGTGTCTGTCTAAATACCACCACTTTTTCTCCTGTCCTCGTGAAGAGCTCTAGGATCTCCACGTGTTCTTTGGCAGCAAGGACTGCCAGCCATCAGGCTGAGAAGCCACGTGAGCCACAGTCTAGCTCTCCATGCCCAACATTGCTATGGTAGATTTTACACAACCATTTTCCTTAAAAATATCTCACAACTTTTTAAAATCCTAAACAGATAAAGGATTTGTGCACCATTCAAACAGGTTAGTTCATCTTGAATTTGTTCAGAGGATTTATCGGTGCCACAGGACGTTGTTTCTTGAAGCTTACACAGCTTGCTTCCTTCCAGTTCCAGTTTGTACATCCACTGTGGTTCAAAATATGCCTGTAGGTGACATTATCTTGGCTTATTTGATACACATTTTCCAAAGGCTGGACGTATTCACAGTTTGGTGCTTCTGATGTGTACTCAAAGGAAAATACCCCACTTCAATTAGTCTGATAACTCAATATCAGAGTCCTCTGATTTGACTTTGGCAAGTTCTTCGTGTACCTCCCTCACCATAAGAATACGTGTTAACATGATGTCCAAGGTCCCGGGGTCTATTGGCAATGTGGAATACCACATGGGGCTATTGGGTACACAGGAGCGCTCGGGTTGAAGGTAAAATACATCACTTCTCTGCTTCACGCTTTCAGAACTGTCAACGTAAGGAGAGGAAGAGCATGTTATTGGAAGGCAGCATTAATGGTCCTAGTCACAAAAACGTTAAGAAGAAACGGCAAAGAAAAGGGAAGTTACATTGAGATGACATCACGGTAATTTAAACAGTGTAATTCAAATCTTTTTGTTAGTGACTTGGTTTGCCCCCTTCAACTTAAGGAACAGTTGTTTCCAGGTCACTTAGCATTAGTTGCTTATGAAGAAACAAAGAAAATGAGTCATTTCTTTACAAACGTGGTTCTTCAATCGCAGTATCATCCAATTAATGGAATCAGCATCTTGATATGATTGATGATAGATGCATTTGACATTCAATCTCTGAATTAAGCTGGTTCCAGTATTCCAGAATTGCTGTGTCCTTTGGCACAGGGAACGTTCAAGAGCTAGCAGAACTCCATCCTGGCTTGCCTGCTCACGGTGCAGAATGGTAAGCCCATTTGCTTGAAAAGACTGACCGTCTGACCCTGAGGCAGCTTTCAGGCTCTGGCAGGAAGACACAAAGTCCTCTAGAGCAAGGACCCCTCCTGCCTGGCTTTGGAATATTCACATTAAAACAGCGAAGTGAACTTTTACTGCTGCTTGCACCACTGCAGGGGCTCAGCTCTGATATATGATGAGAAGCATGAAAACATTTTCCCAGCCCGAGGACAGCTAAAGGCTTCTAATAGTATGTAAGTGAAGGCACGGAAGGTAAGAAGAGGAAGAGAGTCAGGACGGATGCTAGGCACCCCTTTGCCAAAGCAACGGGACTATTTGTAGTAAGCTCAGTAGCTGCCTTTTGGAGGGTGACCTGTTTGAGTCTGAGCTGACGCTAATGAGACGCTGTTTCATTTTGCATGTGTTTTTTCTTTGAAAAGAGAAGAACATCATATTCCACCTGCTCAACGATCTAACTAAAGTTTATATAGAAACAGGAGAAAAAAATCACTGATATCTATGTCCTTGCTACATAGTGTCCTTTCTAACTCCTAAATAAAAGTTAATCTCACATTTCAGCAGGCAAAAGCTATCAGCAATTTCACCTAATTCACAATTTTCCTGCCCTCTTTCACAAGGAACATGATGTCAAGGTATTAGTTATGGGCTTCTCAAAAGAAGGATTCTGTTTGGTAATTAAAGCAGATGAGAATGCCATTGTCACTGAAGTAATGCCCCCGTTGATGTTTACACCCTCTAGATGTGTAAACGGGTATGTAAAGAATACATCTCTCTCTCTAACCCTACTCTTCACTCAATACCGGTAACAGATACTACCTGAGCCTGGCAGCATCGCTGATGCTGGAAGTCCTGTCAGCATGGTTCCATGCCCACTGGGGGACTAGGAATTGGAGAGAGGAGCCCACAGCACAGGCACAAAAGGTCTGAGTGGGATCCCTGCCCAAATGCCTGCTCTAGTCTACATACAGATCAAAAATCAAATTCTGTCACTTACCATTTTGATAAGTAAAATTCGTAAAGTCGGACTGGACATCGCAGGGGATTATCCGTATTTTCAGCCATTTCCACTGCCGTTGCAATCTCCTCATCTTCACTGCGTTTCCTTTTGCCTACAGATAATTTATCTGAACGCACAAAAATGGCAACAGAGAAGTTCAGTGAACAACAGCACTTTCAAGAAGAAGCCCTGGTCACTTAGCCAAGCATCAGTCTGATGCGACTTCGCAGCACACAGAAACACACTACTGGAACTGATTATCTGTCACTTCCCAAGTCAACTGGTTTGATCTGCTGGATGGGCAAAAGATTGCATGCGCTACAGGTTGTCCACAGCCCATTCCTCTTCTAGAAATCAGCTAGGACTAGTATCTAGCAGAAAAAATATGGAGGACATATTTTTTCTTAATAAAGCAGAATTCATGTAACACACTGGAACTATTAACTGAAGAAGCCAAGAGGGTCAAAGACTTCCCTTTTCCAAATACCAAAAATACCCACAGACAACAATTTCTATTTCTTTGCCTCTGAGGTCAAGAGGGTAGTCCCTACTCATGTGCAAAATGAAAAATGAAAAAACTTTGAAAACGTACAAGATAACAGCAGAAGTTGAACTATTCATAGCTCTGCTTACTGCATAACTTATTCTTCTCCCCAGTCCTTTTTAAAACAAGGAGCAGACAATACAAATACGATTGCCAAAATTCAGCTGATCAGAAAGCATGCACTTACCTGATTCTACCTCTTGTTTTTGAAAAGGTGGGAAAAAACGTAAATATGTCATCTTAGTATTATACTTCAGAGTTCGGGTGCGTCTCATAACACGGGCAAAGGACAGTTTCAGGTGCTCACTGACATTCTTTAGTTGGAAGTATTTGGTGTTGAAGAATAGAAGTGTGTTCAATAAAACGATAGGGGAATATGCGCCCAGCTGTTTACATTCCCACAAGTGTTCCTCTTCAATTCTCGAGAACATATAACCTAGAGACAACGGGCAAAGAAAAAAGAAGAGGGTTACTTATGCAATTTTAGGGCTGTCCCTGCATTCAGTTACAAACGAACAGCTCTTACAGGCTGTGTCTAATCTAGCAGATTTTCAGAATTTTCCAAAGGCAATGAAAGCATCGTACATGAGCAGGGTGGGAAGGCAGATACGAGTAACATTAAGTAGGCAGATTTTGCCAGAGATGCATGTAAGTCCTCCTTCAAGTAACCTTCTGCATTAATGAACTGCATATCAGGTCCAATTCAGGCCTATCATGAGCAATTGTAATTCCGATAAAACCAAGAACACGGGGTGCACGAACATAAGAGGGAGCATGGAGAACCAAGCTGTGGAACAGCGTGATCTTCCAACACCTGAAGAATGGAGAGGATATAGAGGAAGATCGCAGACACCAGCGGAAGCTCACTAAATTCTCATTTGACTGTGTTGAACCACAGTCAGCCACCTGCAAAAATGTGTAATTCCTAAGACACGGAGCATGAGTTTAAAATGTACCATCTTTATACAGAAATAGCCCATGGTGATTATCATAAGTCAATTAGGAAAAGGAGATACGGGGCTTATAAGAGATTTGTTGTGGAAAAAAAAATAACACTGTACGCAGCGGTCTATAAGTAATTGGATTATTTCTGTATTAAATAAAAAGTTCATTTTCTAAATGAAAAGCTCGTCGTAGATCCACGTATGGAGTTGCCAACATCATTCAAGTTTCACTGATACTCTGAAAAAGATCTTATGTACTAATATGGCTGGTGTCCAGCTTTACAAACGGCATGATCCTACTTGAAGACCAATTAAAAGTATCTCCAGAATTTGGGAACTCTTAAATTGGAAGTGATTGAGGTGAGAAGAACTTGGAATTGAGGATTCAAGACAAGAGTCCAATGATTTGCTAATGTGATCCTTGGATTTATCAGAAGGAGTATTTCTAGTACCAACAGGGAAATACCAGTGCAACTGCACACAGTATTTGCAGAAACTCATCTCCAATGCTATATGCAATTCTGGCTACCTGTACTCAAAAAGATTAGCTAAAACTTGATGGAAGACAAGAACTACCACATTGACTCCAGGAATGGGAAACCTTTCTTTCCAAGGAGTTGAGAGATTGACCAGGGGCAAAGATATATTTAAGTGTAATCTGTAACTGGTAGAGACAGACATAAAAACCATGATGCTAGTCTACCACAAACAATTACATGGTGGAGAAAGAGACGACTAAGGTGAATGCCTCAGATCACATTCTTCTTCATGGCATTGAGAAATATATTAATTTATGATATGACTTTGTCATGCAGCTACACAAAACAAAATAATTGTCCTACCATTTGGAAGAATTGTAGGTTCCCAGATTTTCAAAAGTTTTGTAAGTTCAATCATAAACCTGGAATAGGGCTCGGTAAAAATGTTATCTATTCTACCATTCTCAAACAGGTACTACAAGAGAAAAAAAGGAAGACATACAGTTTGTGATTATATAACATTGCAGAGAAGATATAGGACATCAGACGCTTTTCCTTTCTGATGTCCCAGTGTCTTACGGTCCAAAACACTCTGTTGAATTCTTCAGTAAGATACCAAATTAAATTTTCTGCAGGGACTGGGACCTGCCCAATATGAAATGAGAGATCTAGGCAAGAATTATTTTTAATATTCCAAACTCTAGAGCTGTTTTCTGAAAAATTATCATCCTCTAAGCGTCAAATATTCTTGTAAAAAGGCTGCCTAATCAAAACCAGAAGAGTTATTGAGTACCCTTCTATTCAAAAGAACTTCATGTGCTTATACCTTCTGACAATAGACACAGGCCCAGCACCAGGCTGCTGAAACAGCTCGACTTACAGCATCAGGGTGAAAGTCCCTTAAATTCCTGTAAAGCAGCAATTTAAAAAAGTTTTCTACAGGCCAGGAGCGTGTATCAATAAATTAGTCAAAACTGGAACACACAAAAAATGCTGATACTACTAGACCTCATCAACGCAACTTTGAATTACAACTCTACATTTTTTTCAAGCATAGCCAGGAAAAATAATAATTAAGATAATTCCATGCCTAGTCAAATGATGGGTTTTATATTAGCAGTAGCTTTTGATTCTTTATCTCCACATGACTGCTTAAGGAAAGGAACAAATAGGCTACTCTAAAAAAAAAGTCACTAACAGAAATACACTGAACTGAGACACTGAGTTTTCAACAGAACTTAATATTATTCTAGGTTTGTACTGTAACTGTTTCAAACTGCTGTATACAGGCAGATAGCAAGGACTCGTTACATCACCCTTAGCATTCACTAATTACAACGCTATTATTCCCATTGTATTTTTCTGTAAGTGTTGCCAACACAACAGGTATCTGTCTAGACACTGAAGGAGCTCAGCCCTTGCTGGGTAACCTTTGCCATGTAAACTTGCAAATTAGAAGAGCATTGTGCAACTATTTTAGATCTAAAACATTCCACCATAAAGCATTTCTGAGAAGACTCAGGTTTCTGCAAATCTTTCCTATGCATGAAAAGAACAGAAAAGGTGCCAAGATTTGCCCAGGCAGAAACACCCTGCCCTCCAGGCCACGTTCCTCCCAACGGAAGCAGCTCATTCACTCCAATCATAAAAAGGTCCAGACAAATTAGTCAAATACGGGATTAAGACAGACTAAGAATAAAACACAAAAAAGATATATTCTTGCCTCCTCTACAAAAACCAAGCAGCTAGGTGGAACTATGGATATCAAGCATAAATAACCAGAGCAAGTTTCCCAGCAACGCCCTAATTCTCCGAGTTACCTGCTGAATTCCAAGGCACAAGTATAAGATGCTGTCAGGATCATATTTTTCTCCATTTGGTCTCCGCACCTCTTGAATAAACTGGCACAAGCCAAAACTCAGCTCAGCAAAAGTGCATGAGAGAATGTCCTCCTTGAGCTTCACAGGACGAACTGTGGCGAAGAAAATTATTAGAAAAATTAAATTCAACAGATTAAATCTTCACACCTTCCTTGTTATTTCATGCGGCAGAACTGTTGAATCTTCTATCTCATGCCTGAAGCACCCTGTATGAGTAAGCTTGTGAACTATTTCCTATCAGTTGGCTAACAATTAAATGAGGATTTAGCCAATAAAACCAAACCATCAGCATGCCCAGCCAGTAGAAATGCCACAACTGAGTAATAAGGCTGCAGGTACGTAAAGCTGAGACATTTAAACGTTAGGTACTTTGCTGAACCCAAAGATGTGGCGCGGCAACGGCTGTGTGTACTCAAGGCTGGCAGGGGAGGGCTGAGAAATAGGTTCCACCTCTACAGCCGGACTCAGGGGAATCCTGAGCACGAGACAGATCTCGAGCGTTTCCTAATAGTTCTGGACGGGGGTTGAGAGCAGCCTATTCCTTAAAGGGAGAAGGAATAAAGAGTTTAAAGGGCCGTGCACGGGATTTGGAGAGGGAAGCAGAGCTAGCAGAGCATCAATCGATCAAAGAAGCCCCAGCGAAATTACCAGGCTCACCGCTCCACACCATAGAGAAGAGCCTGCTTGGGACTAAGCCGGGAACCTCTCTGGCAGGGGTAGGGGTGGACACGGTTTCCTGGAACCGACTGCAATATCTGCTCCCTTAGCCACGAGAAGAAAACACAGTAACTCATGGGATGACTCTTCTTCTGGGAAACAAAACCCAGCTGTTCTCACGTAATGACAAGAAAAATTCCAAAAGAGAGGAAAAAGCAGATCTCATTCCAATTAGAATTTTTCCCTTTGGGATCTTTCTTATATAAGCGCTGCCACACTTAGTTCTTAACGTTGCAGAAGTATTTTATACCGTTTGCTCTCTTCCCCGCCATCCCCAAAAAGCTCAATTATATTCCTAACTTAAATTCTCAGCCTGACTCTGAAAATTTGCCCACAAAATTCTCAGTGCAAGCATGTAAGACAGATTTGAGACCAGGGAAAAAGGGAGTTAGACACTGCCAAATCCCAGGACTGCTGTGCTTTTGTAAAAAAATAAAATAATCCCTAATTAGAAAAACAAACAAAAGTGACACTCATATTGTCATTATTAGCTGTCACCCTAGTGAGATACAATGAACAATTCATGTCTTTTAAAGTTAATTACAGGCAGGGTGCCGCATGGAATGGGTACACTTTTGGAAAGTTTCATTCCGGCTGTGAAGCCTAGAAATAAGGTGTTAAGATTTTAACGTTGTAGCACACAATTTTTTTACAGCAAACAGTTATGCTGACAAACAAATACTTCGTGAATGCGTTAGCTACAGATGAAAAAGATGGGGCCAAGTTACTGTTGCCAATGTAGAATTACAGCCTGATAATAGATCAGTAAATCTCTGCAGCTGCATAAAGCATCTCCTCTACAAACGAAGAATTACTACATGCAAATGAATGCGAAGTGGAGGCTAAAAGACTAATATTTCTGATGTTGAAAAGAAATCTGGTATTTTAGAGCCTGTCTTAATAGGTAACAGATCAATTAAGAATGTAATAGATTTTTAAATGCATGAGAAGACGTAAGAGAGTATTCCATAAAATCCTTTCTCCACTCATGGATATTTTAAAACTCAGTAGTATCTAATCCTAATTTTTATTTGAACAACATATCGTGCCGAGTGCTCTTCAACTAAGTACTTCTGTTTCCACTGAGAGAGAAAAATTCACCTGAAAACTTCAGGTCCCCTTGTTCCTCCTGTGCATTTTTCCATTGGACCCAGTTTTTCCAGGCGTTTACCCCGTACATATACTTTAGGGTCATGCCAGAGACAGAGCACCCTGGGTAGGAGCCCTGCATCAGATTCCGGGGCTCTACGGAAACTACAGACTTCTTTCGTCCCTATGGGCAAACAAACAAATCAAAACAAATACACATTTAACAAGCTCTTCATCTATGGATGCCTAACTGGATATCACATATAAAGGCCATTATGCTGACATGATAACAAAATCCTACTCTCATGGCAGACTCTGAATGGATATATATGTATTTCTAATATGTGGACAAATATTAGCCACATTTTACAGAAAAGGTGCAATAAAATACAGTAATTCTGACTGTGATAAATATGCACAGAAATATATTCCTCTCTAGCTACACAAGAAAAGTGTAGATTATGACACTACAAGACATCTCTTTTGGAGCTTTTTGAAACGATACAGATCTATAAAATGTTCTGCACTAAAAAGAGCATTCATTCTACCTAGTTGCAGAGGGGGAAGAAAGAAAATCTTATCTCATATAGCAGAACGGGAAAAAATATACAGCGTGGTTAAATCGAATTCTCATTTTCAGCCTGGAGCAGTATTTTTTCACTTCTGAGAATCAGCATGCACATAATGTTATTGCTTCAAATGGAAGGAACGTGTGTTCCACAAGTGCTTCCTTACCCGTCTCTTTGGCTGTGGGAAGCCATCTCTATGTCTCCGTCTTGCTCGTGAACGTGAATGCAAACCCAGTCCTTTACTGAGAGGGTCAAATGCGTCTGAAGTCAAATCAACACCATTAAGAGTTTAATTATATGATTTAATATCCCAGGTAGAAGTGTCACTTAGATACTATGGAATACCTTACAGTTGGCAATCACACCTCTATGTTCAAATAATGCTTTATCTTTGACTCACTAGGCAATATATGTACCTTCTGTATAAAGAAAGTAAATTCTCAGAAAAGGAAAAAAGCCCCCCCCAAACAGTAGGTGCACTTATTCAGGCAAACTGATATTCTTCTGCACCACTCACATGGATTGTATCTAGGGACACAAAGTGATCACTCAAAGGAGTCAAGCAAGGTTACCTGCTGCTCCTGTCGGGGGTTCTGTAGAATGCTGCCGTTAAAGATAGCAATAGTATTTTTAAAATAGTAATCTACTAATTATAGTAGAGCTGATATATTACTGAAACTTTAAATGCCCTTCATAAGCAGACTGCTGGTACAACGCTTACTCAGAAAATTGTGCACACTCTCATACAACAATGCGTTTTTCTTCACATTATACAGACCTGACGGAAAATCTGCCTCCAGGTCCTGCTCCACATCGCCTTTGGAGAACTGCTTCAGCTCTGGATCTGGTTCTGGCAGGGCATTCGATCGTAAGGCATAGTGATTTAACTCATCCTCCCAGCTGTGTGGAGTGGACACGGCTTCGGATTCCAGATCTCCACTGTAAGTGCTACCTTGGTCTGTAATAAGAGTGATCAGATACACCATGTGCCATAGAAAAGGGCACACAAAAAGAGGAGCTTGCAAGAAAAAAATGCAACAGGGTCAAAATCCATTTGCAAAAAACCAAATAAAAATATTCAACTGACCTTTCTCAAATATCTTGGGGTCCAGGAAGAGCTCATGCTCAGATGTTTGAGATCCTTTAGAAAAAGAAGGAAATCTGTATCTACAAATGACTGAAAGCTTACATAACTAATACAAAATACTTTGAACACCAAAAACCTATTTATTAGGTCATAATACTAACACACATGATGCCTCTTCTCCTCCACTAGTGTTCTCCTAACAGCTTTCTACCTTGGTCATGCTGTTACGGGAGAAAAAGAAATGCAGAACTAACCCATGTTTGCTTTTCCAAATGTTTCCATCCCTCCACGTTTGTTATTTGAGTCATCTGTAGACAAGTAAGATATTTTGTTCATTTCTTTTCAAGCTTGTTCCACTTTTATTACATGGCATGATCATTATCCAACACATTCTAACCTCCATCACCCTCCAAGAATTCACCATAAAAAGCCTGACAGGAAAATACTCTTGTAAAACAGCTGCTCTCTCTTCTTGATTTTGACTCCTTCTGCTAATGCACGATGTACTGATCTGGAGATTACTACCTCCAGCAATCTACTACTGTCAACAAAAGTCAAATCAGCACCTAGGATCAGGGAAAGGGAATGCAAAGACATTTAAACACTGTCAGTGCTCAGTATCTAACATGGGTTCTACGCTAAGCATAACTCTGGTGAATACTGACTGGTAAACCTCTGTGAAATTACAAAAGCTTCAGAAAGGTGCAGGTATAACCAGCACCCGAGGTGGGAACTATGGAGCAAGAGTAAATTAATCTCAAAAGAAAACATGTTTTCAAAACAAAGAACAGAATATTGTACACAGAGACAAAATTACATCCAAAGACACAGTTCAGCTGAATTCCCAGAAGGCCACCTCATTTTAAAAGAGTAAGTCATCAAAATTGCTGAGACATGACATAAGCATTATAGTCCTGCCTAGGTTGGCACTTCACCTGCATGAACACTTTCAGTGTGGAAAATAAATGTTGGTAAGCAACAGGACCATTTAACTTGGCATGCATACTGGGGAAGCAGCCAAGACAGACCCTACATCTTTTTCTCTACCTATTTTCCGTGGTGAGAGGACCCCCATCTCGCTGCATTTAGTTTTCTTTTTAAAAACATCACATACCACCATGAGAGTGTGTTTTTTCTTTCTCCTCATCTTCTGCAATCATTTCTGCCATCTGAAGGAGATCAGCTTCGAATGGATTTGTGGGAATCTTTTCCTTGATATCCTGAATAGTTTCAATGATCTTATCAGCACTATCCAGGGTCGTTGGGAAGAGCATGGGAACTGGTACCTATGGAACACAGGGAAAATACTAGAGCATGTTTGGGGGTGAAGGGAAACAGCAAATACACAAAGGCGACTCCTCTCATTTAATCTTACATATATTTTAGGACTACTAAATTTAATTTAAAAATCGCTCCACACTGGACAATTTGTTTCATTTCCGCAATAACCCCACGAATTGGTAGTTTCGTGTGATGATGTTTAACCAAACATGATGTGATAAGGATAGAAATGGCTTCAAGGACTGCAAATACCACTTGCATGACTAGTCACAAAACCCAGTGACACTGCTTTGTGTCCTGTTCAGAACCAAGACTGTAAACCAGTTCTCTAGTGAACTGAAGTATAACTTACAGGTACTGGCATCCCAAGTGGAACTGGTGTGTACTGAGTGTAGAGGTGAAGGGGCACTGGCACAAACACTGGTACAGGAACAGGTACCACAATGATCTGGGGTTGAACTTCTTCTTCTTCTTCTGTTACACCAAAAATAGAACAAACCAGAAATTGTTTAACCATATGACTATCCAGTACACTCCAGAGCGTCCATGATAATTGTTTGGACTTCTGCTTGTAACTCAGCGCGCACAGTACCGCGTGTTGGTTCACAGTCACCTTTCACTTTAGGATTGCTGTAACAAGTATTAATACTAGAGTTTGGAAATAAACAGCACTGTGTCCCTATACATGAATACTGGAAGGGAAGAGTGGAAATAAGTATTAAATACATCCAGGCAAATGATGTGTTATTGCAATTATCTCACAAGTAACTACTAGACCATGAGAAGGTACCGTTATAAAACTAACTACAATCTTCCCACTTTACTTCATCTTCCTCATTAAGAGGTTTACATCAACAGTAGATGATACTCTCCTCCTACAGTAACAACGATGAAAAAAACACTCCTCAGTGACAGACTGGACTATGTAATAGCCTGTGAAGGTGTTTCTGTTTCCTCCTGCTCAGAGAGGGACCTTAGAGCAAATAGATATCTAATGAAATTATCTTAGGAATAGGGACTTAATTTTCAGAGGTTCTTGGTATCTGTATCTAATAATTAAAGGAAAGTAAGAGTTGAAACAATCTTTGAGAAATCATGCACTTACTAAAATGACTCTGCTCTCGTGGCTTGTGCTGTCAGAGCTAAGGACTCACAAATTCTGGCCTGAGGAAAACAAGTTCCCTCTGTAGCCTTTTGCATGTCACTTAACTATCGCACTTCATTTTCCACAGTTAAGATGATCACATAAAGATGAGTTAAAGCAGATCTCAGGATTCATCACACATGAAGCTTTAAGGATTTCAAAGAATGGCAAATGGTTTACATCTGTAAGGCAAACTGCTCTTTGGAACACACCGTAAGACAATCTGAAAACTATTTAAGGTTTTAAAATATATTACAAAATATTTTCTGTTACATAAATCATGCATTACTCTCTCAACTGCAATACAGACTTTTATAAAACGGGTAGATTAGATACATACCTGTCTGGCATTCTTTGTTTTGTGTGTGAGGTTTGCATGAGGTGGCCTTAGTCTGTGTGATTGGCTTGCACAACAATGCTTTGTTTTTTAGAAGCCTGGGTGGTTGGGACGGCGGCAGCTTTAGGGCATCTGTCTGAGTACTAGCCTGTTTGGAAAAACACAAACCAGGGCAGAGTCAGTATTGGTTTGAAGGATATTGTAAGATTAGTATTAGTTCTCTACTATGGCAGGTTGAACAATTTAAAACTGTCCTTACTGACAAAAATGATCATTTTAAAAAATACTGCAAAAATAGCTCGCTAATGTATTTGGCACTTTCTGGTCTTTACCTCAATTTATTTTAATCAAACAATAGGCTTTTTTTTTTTTTTCCGTTAGCAGTGCAGTGAACAAATCTGCAAGTGTGTTTGTTTTCTGTAGTCAAATAACCTCTATAAACTTTTGACATTGGAATCTTACTGATAGCAAGGATCTAACGAGGACTTATATTAAGATACTTTTGATGACTAAAATTTTGGCTGCTACAGATAACCAAAAAACTTAGTAAACTGATGTGAAACTACTGGAAAGAAATTAAAAGTAAAAAATTAATACAAAGGCTAGCAGTATCAGTAGCACTTCCTGATTGCACACAGACTGACTATTCCTGCTCGTAGTAACGTCATGTCCTGCTAACTGTAATTTTCAGTCATGCATTCAAAGCACAGGATCTGCTTCATTAGGGAAAATTCGTACTCTAATCCATAAATGACACTTCAGCTAAAAGCAAGGGTGTCAGTCTTCCAGAACCTAAGAGCTACCTAATAAAATCTTCGTATTTTAAGAGAGTTGCAAGGTGTATACCACATACCTCAAATTGCTCAAGAATAGGAACTCTAGGAGTTATTCACAGATAAGCGTTGACAATGGTTCCCCACAGCTCCGTTACCACACTACTAGGGAGTTGGGGAAGGAACGCTAAGCTGCAAGAGCTCGGTCAGGTCAGCCCCAGCAGCTCACGCCGGTCCCCTTCCTCCCACGCTAGTCCTTTTGACATCACATCCCACTTCTGGGCACAAAAGGTATCCTCAAGTACACACAAGAAGCCACACAAGAATTGCTTGAGAACTACAGCCATCCCAAGAGCTACAATTTGACAAGCTTCCCCTTAAAACATCTAATCAATTTGTCAGCAGACACAAAAAGACTTTATACCATACAAGCTCTATCCATTTTAAAAAAAGCATCTGCAAACTGGATGAATTTTAAATCCCCATCACAACTAGGACAAGCAGTTACAAAATGACGGTGCAAAATTCTTGGATACTTTACTTGTTATTGATACAATCTGGGCGAAAGTGAGAAAAAGAGTCTCTCGTAAAACTTACATCTCCTATTATTTTTGCTGTCACAGTAGGGACTGCACCTGTGAAGAAAAAACATACAATAGCCTGTGTACTTATCATCAAGGACCGTAACCCATACTCTGCTGAGGTCAAGAAAAAGGATACCCATTAAACCTCATTCCCTGGTCTATGTACATAAATTTAAGTCATTATTTATCCCTAGGTAAAGGAAGGACAAGACTGTAACCATCCGCACGGATGTGAAGCGTAATGAAGAAGTGGCTGCTGTCCTCAGTGGAAAAGATCCCTCAGCAAATATAAATGTTCAGGAATAGAGATTTAACAATACAGGCATCGTATTCAGCAGTCTTACCCTGTAAAACATTGTTGGAGTTAACTGTAGGCTGGGCAGCAGGGGTGCTTGCAAGGGACACCACATTTGCTATGACAGGGGTCGAGTCCTTTCTCAAAGAAGGAGGGCCTGACGAGGACGCTGGTGCCATAGAAAGGTTTGCTGGACAGAGCGAACAGAAGAAAATTAAAAAAAGCATAAGATAATTTATAAAGTGGCATTTCTGAAGCAACACCCACCCTCCAGATTTATCTCCAAATGAAAAAGCCTACTGCTGCATGAGAAGGGAATGCAGGTGCCAAACTGCGGCGTTTCAGTTTAGATAGGGGCTGGTTCCACCAGCAAAGTTAAGCTGTTTTCCAGTCACTGAAACATTTCAAAAGGTCATCATAGCATCAAAGCAGCTTTCTCTTTGTAGTAGTATGTGCACTACAGCAGCACTCAGGAGACAAGGAGGACTGGATGCCTCGCTGCGCTTGGTACCCAACATACACAGTACAGGAGGCTGTCGAGATCCGGACAAATAACGAACGAGGTGAACTTTATGAGGATCTCACAGTCAGAGGAATTCTTAGGTTCTTTCCATCTGAAAGCACCATTTGTTAACACATCACCGTGAATGACCACATTTCATCAAAAACTACTGTTCTGAGGCACTCCGTTACCCTGGCAGCCCCCAGTTCAGAGAGACGCCTGGAGGGCAGTTCCACAACACGCTGCACTCTTGCCTCAGCTGAAGTTGCAGGCACGCTTCTGGAGAAGCAGCCACCATGGCTCTGGCTGTCCCCACTAACAGCCAAATGTACCGACAAGACCAGGAATGTCACACGGTATAGGTATGGCCTGAAAGTATAAAGTTACTTGTATATTGCCCTTAATCAGGGAAAACTGCTCCCACCCACGCAAGCAGCAGATGTGCACAAAGTCGAAGGGCTGAACGTGGCCTGGCGCCTACTATAAACTTCCAGTGAATATTCTTTATTGCTTGTTGGGTACCTTACTGTTGCAGTCACCATCACTCAGTGGGAGATAATGCCCCTCTTTAGGATCAGTGCTATTTCTGCCCTCTGTTTCGCTTCCTCTTCCTGTCTTTGTGGGCTTTTCTTCCTTTCTTCCCTTTGCATTTCATTCCCTACAGAAACTCACAGTTCCTATTCCTGTGGGCTTCACTCCCACCCTCCTTCCCACTCCACCTGCCAAAATAATGAGCAAGGACAGAGCTACAGCGCACATTAATCTTGGCATTGATACTTCAAGAATCAATACAATGACATAGAAATGGTAACTCTTCATATACCTCCAGACTACACAGAACTGGCTATTTGAAGTGTATATATGGAAGGTTGTATTTACAACCATTAAGTCTACTAATTTCACCATTTGATTTTTTTTTTATTAAATGGACGTTAACTTTCTACTGTATCTGGCTATGTCTTACCAAGTAGGGGAGGCAAGCTAAGTATTTAACATGTCTTCAATAGGTATCAGTTCATTTTAGCCCAATAAAATGGGCCTTTCTTTTATGAAAGTGATTGAAAATTCAGTGCTTTTGTTTCATCTTCCTTAAAATCACAATGTGGATTTGGTATATGAAGCAATCTCATCTCATACCTGCAGAAGTTTAAAATTGTTTGAAGTAAAACAGACATCTAAACCAGCCCATTCAATGGCGATGGGGGAGCCCCCCAGGAGAGGGTGGATCTCAAAAAGTTCACAGACTCGAGTTTCCAAACAAACGTTCATATCCCAATCACGCACACCAAAAGGCAATACTATTCCCAGCCTGTTTTACCTGTGTTGTTTGGGGGTGGAGGGTCAGAAACACTTTGCTGATTACAGAACAACAGAATACAAAGCAGATTGCAAAAATGCTTGATCTCGCCTTGCCATTTCATGGACTCGCTGAGTTTACCTTGTCTCTTACAACCGTCACACTTTGCCATCTACGAAAACAGAATGAGGGAGAAATTAAACACACTCGTAAACAGCAACAAAGAGCACGTGTATAAAAACCTCTCTGCACCCTGCCCAGCAAATACAGTGTAAAGCAATCTGTAAGACTGCATCATTTTTGCAGTGTAATGCAAAACAGCAGAATATTCAGTGTGTGCCTTCCCACAACCCATATCAGGTTTTCTCTATATAGAAAACCGGTACTTAAAAGCGAAGGATTTACTCATCTCTCCCATATACACAATATATTCCATGGACACAGAAGTCAACTACAGGCAGTTCACACAGCTCCTAATTTACAAAGGCTCTTTTGCTAACATGTTTATATTCGCTATGGGAGAATAGTGCTTACCTGGTAAAACAAAACCGTGAACTTAGACATGCACTCCTCTGAGCAAAATTCCTCCATTTTCCCCCCAAAGTGATTCTGGACCAGTTTGGGGGAAGTCTGTAAACAGTAACTGCACATTTTACAGTGGCTTCCCCAGCGCTTAGCCAAGTCATGTTTATAGAGCAGTTTACAACCTAAAAGAAGAGAAAATAGCAAGAAAACAAAAGCATCCTTCAATACCAAAATGACATTTTCTCAGCACTTCTAGTTCTTATATTTAGTTATATCTGTAACAATTTGTTGAAACACACCATTAAAATGCAAAGTGTGAACAAAGTTCTGTGTTTCTAAACCTAAAAACCAGTTTCCTAACCTAAAAAGATTAGGTTTGTCTTAGTATCACTAATAACATCAAGGCAAAACACTTCCAACTTGATTCATCTGAGACACAGTCTTGTCCTTTCTTACCTTCACTACAGAATGTTTTATCTATGCCTGAGAATCGCACTGTCTCCTTGATAATTTTCTCAATTCTGCAGTATTCACACAATGCCATTACACTGCTCCTCTTCTTATACTCATCACAGCAGGTCTTCCCACAAAACTGGAACATTTTACCCTGCAACACAGCCAGAATGTTTGGGTTTCAATGCTTCACATCCCAGATAATACATTTTAATAGTTAATATAAACTCAGAAGCATATTTCTGCCCTTGGAAATCAACAACAGAAAGCACTAGCAAGTAAGTCTCCCCATTTAGCTTTATAACAAAGAGAACACAATTTGCTGCGGAAAGCCCTCACCAATGTGTTTTGTCTTGGAATTAAAGGATCAAGTCTGGGACCAAGAATTGGGAACGTGCTCACCCAGCCAGGCAATCCTAGGGTTTGGGTTTTTTTGGAGTTTTTTTGTTTGGGTTTTTTTTTTTTTTCTGTTTTTAAAATCAAAGAGCTAGTATCAGTATGAATTTTGATAATGGTTAAACGATACCAAAATCAGTTCTAAATTCCTCCATAGAAGATCACAGTAAGCAACAGAGCAGTACTGACAGACCAGTGCATATAAGCTACAATTTCTTGGGTTTCTGTTGAGAAACATGAGCTCGAAAAGCCCTGGTCTTTATTACCTTGTAGTCAAGCAGTTCGGGTTTGGTTGCAAACAATCTGTTACAGTGCTGACACCTGAGTTTTACAACAGGGCGGGCAAAAGTGACTTGCTGGGACTGGGCAGCCAGCCTCTGTAGACCCGCTGCAGCTGAACTGCTCATGGAGCTGGGGGACACAGTTGAGGTGGTGCCACCGGCCGATACCGTGGCCCCCGAGGGAATGCTTACAATGACTTGACCTTGCGACAGAGGTACCACTGAGGAGTTCATTCCTGCAGGCTTGTTGAACAAATTCTGCAGGAAAACAAATTGAGGAATAGACTTTATTTTACAATATTGCATATTTTACCCCGCATCCCAGATATTTACACCATCAATTTATTGTTCTATTCATTAAGCTAAGAAGAAATCCTAGGTGTCACACCTGAAAAGCTACTACACAACTGTAGCTGCAAAAATTGCGTATGCTCCCGTCTGACATAGCCAAGTGATACTGAGGGTTTGCTGAAGTTTTACAGCTGTTGCACTGAACCTGAACACCTGAGGGTGAAAGAGAGAAGAAAAAGTGATTTATGCAACATCAAGTTGTACTGCAGATAATTCTGCACTGTGCATACAAAAACAGAGAATCTGAATGACACGCCAAAGTACACACAGAAGCCCAAGACGAAGTTTCTACAGATTCAGAGACAGACACTGCAGCTGCGGTGCCTGTTGCTTGCCAGATCCTTTAATTAATCTCCCAGTATCCCTAGGATGTCAGTAAGCATTTTTCTATTTTACAAGAAAAATAGCTGTGAATACATTTGCCCAGCTCAATGCAACATTAGGCAGAGGTAACTAAGCTAATCACCCCGGAGAGCAGGGGCAGAACAGTCACAGCGGTGGTATGGCATATGTCCACAGAAGTGGATTTGTCTCGCCGGGAAACCCACCAGCTGCACTTGCAAGAGCAGAAAATAGATTAAGGTTTATTATCATGTTTAAGCTCTCATAAAACAAAGCTGAAATGGCTGTCCTGTCACTGTTAGGTTTATCTATGGAGAAAGTACTTATGTTCCCATCTCAGCACCTCTGTTTAAAAAAAACAAACGCCACTTCCCACCCCCCAAAAAAAGGTTATCAGCCTTAACTTTCACGACAAATTAAGTTTGGCTATGAGCTACGTGAAATTATGCTTCTAAAGAAGTAAAAGGATAAACTTACCTGCAGAGGTAACCATTTTTACTCTATACGCTGACAAGCAGTTAACAGAGCAAAACAGTTCGGTTTTTCCCAAGTTATTTGTGCTCTCTATCATCTCAGCTGAAGATCTCAAAGATTTACACAGCGTGCAAGGTGTAATTTTAGCTGACTTCTGTGGAAACGTGGAAATCTGTCATTCATTTGAACCTTAATATTCTTATTAACACAGAAATTAATCACTAGCATGTCAAATGTGTATGGAAGTGACTGCCAGTGCACTTGAAACAGCACATATTTTACAGCTGTATTGTTTATGATGCAGATACACGTACTGGAGGTCTCCAGTAGGCTTGCTGCATTCACACTTAGACCACCTGAGACCTGGGCTGTCTCTCGTTCAGGGTAAGCGCTACCTTTGCAGACCAGTTTGGGCAGTACCCAGGCTGTCAGGGCAAAGGCCTCCAAGTGCAAACACCGCTACGTGTTGTACCAGCACGTACCAAGCACCTTGTATCAGACGACTTCAACATTTTTTGCTGAGAAGCAACATTTTGCTGATGATTTTTAATACATCAGCTACGTATGCAAGCAATATTCCCATTTAACAGATGAGAAAGGAAACAGAGAGAAGGAGGTTCCTCTCTCACCCACAAAACCCCAGAAACTATGAGAACATATCCGACAATTGAGTTGAATGCTTTTTAAAAATCAATAAAAAATAGGTAAGACTTACAAGATTTGCACACACTGTATTTTTAGGAAGACTAACATGTATGAGCTTTTGATGTGAGATGCAAAAGCAGCATGAAATCCCTCTCCTTTCCAGATATTTAATTTAATTTCCAGATTTGTTTCAGAGGACAACTAATGTTGTAGGTAATTTTCTGGATGAAATACTTTTACCATTTTTTAAATCCATTAGGCTGTTCTTGGCCTAAGTGGCCTGAATAATGGGGCAGCAGAGTCAAGCCACAAAATGAAGTTACACTATCTTATCAGAGGGCAATTTTTCCTAAAGTAATTGCATTAAAATAAGTCAGTCAAAAATAATTGAGCTGTTATAATAAATTAAGATTCTCTCAACTGCTCAGCTCTTTAAGAGGCTCCATTATAATCAAAACTAAAATGTGAAACATTTAAAAATTATAATCAAAATTATCAACTAATTATTACTTTTCCTCTCCACTTAATTCAAATGCTAAAATTTAGTAGAGAATACTCAAACAGGGAGAGCATCTCAAAGGCTGAAAAAAGTCACAGTCATCTGCTGCTGAGTGGCCCCTCTGTGTCTTCTCTCACACTGGGATAATCTGGTGGCCAGTTCCGTAAAGGAAACAAAGCAACACGTCTGGGCAGAGATTGAGCAGCAAATGGCAAAAGGAGTTCTCTTAGACTAAGATAGTAACTGAAATAATCAACTAATAAATCGGATATTTCTTAAAACACTCAAAATCTAATCAAGGACATATTTTTAATATTTGGTCAAAATATACCTGCTTGTATGCTGTCACACATGCTGAACTGCAAAACTTTTTTGACTGTCCCTCTATTTGAAGCATGTGACACTGGCCAGAGCCGCTGTAGCAGTACCCTCCGCAATTCTCACAGCAGTTCATGGTCAAGTTGTTAGCCGAGCGGAACTTGGAGAAGCAGGCATCGCTGCAGAGCTTGTGGACAACGTTCTGGTAATTCACTTCGTGTCTAATCTGGAAGAAAAGAAAGAATATATAACCAGAATACAAAGAATACGTATGCTCATCTCAGACAGCAAGTTGTCCCAATCTAAAGGAAATTCAAAGGAAAAAGAAGTTTGCAATTACCACTGCGTTCTTCTGGCACATACTGCATTTGGTTGAAATGCTGTTAGTATGAATAGTAACAACAGGTTTCCTTTTCAGTTCATACGTAGAAAGACAAGACTGGCTGCAGAAATCCTTACTGGAGTTTGTATTGTCAAACTGGGCAGTGATTACATCCTTTGGATTTAGAATGTCTCTATGGAAAAAAGAAAAACAAACAGAGACAAAGAATTAATGTTGGTTTCATGTCAACTTGTTGTCCTTTCTTTTTCTGCAGGCTAAACATTCTCTAGAAGATGGTGGCTTAATTTAATTTAAAGCTTTTCTTTTTGCTCATCTAAGTAATGTAAGTATAGAATCATAGAATGGTTTAGGTTGGAAAGGACCTTGAAGATCACCGAGTTCCAACTTCTCTGCCCTGGGCAGGGACACCTCCCACCAGCCCAGGTTGCCCAGGGCCACCTCCAGCCTGGCCTTGAACACCTCCAGGGATGGGGCCTCAACAACCTCTCTGGGCAACCTGTGCCAGTGCCTCACCACCCTGGTTAAGTACAATTCTCAAGTAGATATTTTGTGAAACATTTTGTACCTGGACTTAGGAGTGGCCTATAAATACATTAAGCTGTATCATTAAATCTTTTCAAAAGGAACTGGGAAAAGGTAACCGTTTTGCACAGTCTTTACTACAAAAAAATAATTAGAAAGCAGGCTATGTGTTATGATTCCCTTTAACAATGAAAATACCTATCATAATGGGGGGAAAAAAAAAGGGAAAAATGAAAGGTCACAGTTTCTAGTCACCACCTAGTTCAGTCCCAAATGGTCTGACTAGTATTGGAACTTTCCATCTCTTACCTCCCATCTATAGTTATGTTTATTTGCTGCTGGGTTTAACAAACTGAACTTTCTCCTTATCTCTTCTCTCTTTTGAAACAGTCATTCACAGAAAAGTTTCAAAGCCCCTAGGTCAAAAAACTAGGAGGAAATATTTATATGATTTTGTCGGTTGGAAGGATGCCTCCTTCTCACTTGTCTTCTCAGAGGCAAACCATTCTTCAGCAGAAGAAAAACAAATTACAGCCAAGACTGCTAGAGTTTATTACAAGGCCTTTTCACACTGAGACAGCAAGTGAAAAGAATAATTAATTAAGTCTCAAGTTTAAGTTCAGCTGACCTTGTAAAACTGAAAGCAATAAATCTGTTGTTGAAGAAATGATGAACAAAGCAGCATTCCTTTTGCAAAGTAACTTTCATAACTAAAAATAATACATATGAATAATTCTCCTCTATAAACAGACTGCAGCACAATCAGTTTGCAAAGTTATTTATTTGCCTCAAGTTGATGGTATAGTAATATGACAACTTAAAGCGTAAGCCACAAGGTCTCCTTTTGCTGATTTCGAGATAATAATACAAATGAACACAAACTTTTAACAATTAAAATGTTTTCAGAGCTGAAGGTTCAGGCCTGTGTTTCCAACAGGACTGTGGAAAATGTATGTCATCTTTCTAAAGAAATTTTTCCAAGTAGGCTCACAAAAGCACACCTCACCTTTCCACTCTAGATCTTGGTAGAAACTAACTGATTTGGGTACTGAAACCTCTACAACCTGAAAAACTCATTTCTTAAAAAATTTAATTTCTCTGCGTCTTATGGAAGTTTTGCCATCATTAAATAACAGCAGCTGTGACATATTTTGAAGAGCTAAAACCTAAGCTTACAGAATAGAGCCAGACTGGAGAGTTAAAAATTTTTTTAGAATCTAAGGAAATATCCTGCCTCAAATATATTAATTTATCCATGTTTTTATTTCATTTTGGGGATTTGGTAAATCTATTTTAATCTAGAAGAAATAATACATACAATATTTTTTAAATGTACTTTTGTTCGTGGTTTTGATAGTGCAATGACATTTTACAATGGCATGAAAGTGCAGTACCTTTTCAAGCACAGCTCATTTAAATTAAAAAAAAGACAAGATGCACACTTCACAAAAGAGGCTTTTAAATCTATGTGTACATAAAATCCAATTAATGAATTGGAACTGAAAGCAGGCAGACCAACTAACAAATAAGAGTATCAGCCACGATTTTTTGCAGGGAAGCGTAACAGCAGCGGGCACTACAGAAACAGCGTGTTGTGTAGAAAAAGAATTGAAGCCTTTCATTATCTGTTTGAATATCAATTATTACTCGAACGCATTAAAACACTGTCCTACTTTGAGCAGCTTGAGCAGGTTTTCTTGGTAGAAGCTGGTGGGCGAGGAGCTGGAACGGTGTATCCAGTGAGGCACAGTGTGGAGCAGAAGAGCTGGGTCGAGCCTTTCCTCTGGTATGCAGTTTGCCCCTTCTGCAGTATTTTTTTACAGCCAGAACAGGAAACCCGAACAGCTGCGGTTGGAACTGAAGGAAGCATTTTACTCATGCCAGAGGATGCCACAGCAGGCTGGAAACCTGATGACAGCTGTGGAGCTAGAAAAAAAAAAAACAAAAACACAGAGAAAACATAGAGTAACTGTTATATATGTATTACACATAATTCACTTGCATGCAGGGGGCAAGCACAAAGCTTATGACTTCATTTCAGTTGTCAGGGTCTAAGGGAGAATTAAATAGCAGATGAACTTTCCATAAATACATGCCCTGGGCTGGTTTTCTGCACAGTAGATTGTTTCAACTACTCTTAAGACTGAGAATGCACTGAGAATGCACTCTCACATTCAATTTTCCTATGCCTCAAAAATACAATTAGTTATCAATCTCTGAATTTAATTGTCTCTAAAACAAACTAGTTCTTTTTTCCTGCTGGGGTCAGACGTAGCAAACAAAATGCAGAATAACCCGCAAGACTATTTGCAAAGGTGACATATTTTACAGGTTTAAATAAAGTTAGTCTTGCCTATTTCTTACCAAGAGGACTGCCACTGACTGAAAATACAGCACTGATTTTCAGCTCCCCTTCCTGAGATTTTGGCTGTTGGCCGTACTCCTAAAACAAAGGGAAAGGAAAAGGAGAACAAATACACACATGTAATAACAGGTTACATGATTTCCATTCTTTCATAATACCGTATCGAATCTTAAGGTCCAGCAAGGCAAGAGTGACTCCCCTAGGCCTGCTCCAAAGACCAGGTTCACAGACGTTGCTGCGGGAGCACCACGCACGGAACCTGCTCAGAGGTTCCCAGCAAACTACAACCGGGGGTGTCACGTAGGAAGGGAAAAGCGCAGCGTTCCCCTTTCCAGCTGTACTCCAAGACACCTCAGAATTCAGCCAGACAAAGCTTAAGAGACATCTCTGCTTTCCACTCATGCAAACGTTCCATCCAGAAGTGCTTTGCGGTCCTTGGCCCTGCTCTGTGAAACAAGCTGTACCTTCACATTCATAGATGATGATAATGAAACAGAGACTGGGACCTGGGCGGTGAGAGGCATTCTGTACTTCACCATGAGTTAAGCACCTCGGAGGAGCGTAAGGTGAAGCTTCACAGCAGATCAAAGCTGGCAGCACTAGAGCCAGACCACCACAGTCCCCGCTCAGACTGGCTTCAGCGAGAAGGGAATAACCTCATGTTTTCTACAGGATGAGAAAATCCCTACAGACAGTCGCTTGTGGAATAGCTGCCATACTATAAATCACTAGCTTACTCCACAGCAGCTATTCATACTTTGACACCATGCTTCCTGCCCATGCTCTCCCTAGAAATCTGAACCATAAAGCAGATTGTAACACTCTACATGTAAATCTTAATAGGCTGAAAAGCATAATCTCTTGGAACTACAGAGATGGTAAGATTTAACCTACTTACACTCATTTGAGAGTAGCAAGGGCACAATGTCATGTTATGACTGAGCTAAAATCACAGTTGCTGTCTGGCTGCAAGGTAAGCCAATTCAAAATCACTAGGCAAAATGAAGCGCTCACTTCTCAGCAGCACTGAACTGCTCCCTCAGCTTACGCCATCTCCTAAAATCACACGCTAACGTCCGTGTAAGACACGCTTAAACTTAACATTTCTCTTACTCCTGTGGGAAAATTAAAAGTTTCTATATTAAGACAACCAAACCAGTTCTCAACAGGTTTCCCAGGAGAACCGGTGATGGCATTCATTCAGCATGTGAACCATCTCACTGGAACATTCAAATCTCCAGTAAGAGCAGCTTTTCAGGCTCTGCATGGGTTTTAAAGCACCATTTTTTTTTAAATATTACAATTTAGAAACTAGTTATTTGCAGAAATACCGTTTTTTAAGCATTTTAACTGCTGTTTTACCCTTAGTCAATACTAGTAAGAGAAATGGAGGCAAATCCTGACATCAACTGTGCATGACCAAGCATAGTTTCACAGCAGTGTAACAGCGCCGAAAGCCAAGAACCTTCAGCCCCAACTATTGGTTACAGCAAGAAACGCTCTTATCTTTCAGGATGCATGAAAAAAAAACAAAAAAAACCCCGCGTTAACTCCAATCTAAAGCAAAACAGAACCTTCATCAGTTCTCATATTTGTCCAGTATCAGGCAGAGTTGATAATTACAGGATTTTACTCCAGGAATTAATATTTTGACGAATATATTTGATATTTAAACTCTTCAAGTCTTCACTTTTACTTATTAATACAATTTTTTATCATCACAGACATCTTGCACTGCATTCCACACAAATCCACAGAGCAAACGTCATCTTGGGAGGACAAAATAGACAGATTTAACTATTCTACACATTGTGTGACATTATATATGCTTAAGGAAAAACAAAACCATACAATCCCATGGACACTGAACAAATCCGAAGGGCAGTGACGTCTGAATAGTTTCAAATACTTGGCTTACTTCTTTATTTTCTGAAGCCAAGAGTATCACAGGACAGGAAAAACTGTTGGGAAGACAGGCCCAGAGAGAAGAGGAGGTACAGCAGAAGCACACAGAATGATGCTAGAAAAACTAATGCCTGCACGAGGACACCAGCACTCTAGTGTCGATGCAAGTGGGATGAATCACCTTGGGAAGCTCTGCACAGCTTTAGCTACATGTGAAGTTTGGCATGTAATCCAAATATTAGCAGTGAGGAGACAGGAATTGCAACGCAGATCATTTCCCTGGTGTCACACGGCAAACCAGCGGCAAAGGGGCTGGTTAGAGCTCAGCAATCCCTGTCCCAGCACCGCTCAACCCACAGGGCAGACTTTTTCCATTTTGCAATTACTGAACCTTTACCTGTATTGTCATAAAAAATGTCAGTCTCAAGTGAGAAAGTCACTTAAACACATGCTTAAATTGACTTCACTGATGTGTACGTATTTAAATGTTTTGCTAAAGTAAGACCTCCGAGTGTTAATTTAAAACAAGAACAAACAATAAACCACTGTGCTCGCAAAGGTAACCTTTAAGAGGGAAGTAGCAGGAATAGCACTGTTTCAACTACACGTCTCTAACTGGGACTGTTCACAAAGTATTCAGTAAAACACGATTTACATTTTCTTTCCTAGTGAGACCGAGTTGAGATAAAGTGTCCATATTGCTACAGATTTAATAATGAAGTTTTACAACACTTTGCTTTGTCTCTAACTGAAAAGCAAAACATTTTCAGCGACATGGTAACATGACATCAAAAAGCTGGGGGTTTTGGGTTTCATGGTAGTATAAAAGGGAAAAATCCTTCTACTAATCTATGTTCTTCAAGTTAAATTTCGGTCAACAAACCAAATAAATTGCTGAATTTACGTCCAGCTTATGCGGTCAGCTGTCAGACCAAAATGAGAAATGCAATGGGAAACTTACCTCAGAATTATCAGGTTCATCTTTAATTTTGTCTAATAGTCCCTGCTGTGGGGCCATAGCTTTATCATATTCGTCATCCAAAGGCTCCTCCTTAATTCTAATATTTGGTGCAAAGGAATTCCCCAGCTCTTGTCCAATAGATTCCTTACTAGAAAATAGGTAGCTAGACTCCTGAAACAATAATATGAAAAAGAATTCACCCTCCTGCATCTGCCATTAGGAGTTGGGCTGCTGCCAAGGGGAGTTTCTGCTGCAGACCAAGAGAAATGGGTCCTGCCACTGGAAGGTGGGAGAAACGATGGGCAGCAGCCGCTGCCTCTGTCTCCCTGCAGCACCCTCTGTCATCCCACCCCCAATCCTTTTCACTCCTTGGACAAAGCAGAAGCCACCCGGCTCTCTTAAGGTGGTTGTCAGTAGGGGCACTCGGCTGTTTGGGCAGTGTCTCCTGTTGATACAGCTGTTCCCTGTCTCAGCTGGAAAAAAGGCAGCAGGTCAGATGGACGCATCCGGGTCTAGATTCGGCTCACCAGTCAGTCAGACCATGCTGAACATGAGAGGCTATCAAAAGAATCCTCAATCCAAAGAGAGGGTCAGCAAAATTTTACAAAATTAAATGCACTGTTTAAGTAGCAAAGATGTCTAAGAGTCAGAAGATCAGTTTTCTTGATACTCAAATTTACACTCAAATACAAAATACGTATTTTGAATTATTCCAGTATATTGCTGCACTTGCAAAAGTGTTTGAAAGATCTATAGCTTACCCTGAAGTTAGTTTCTGGAGTTTGTGGCGCTAACTGCGTCCGTAATGTTTCTTCTACTTGATTATGAACTGAGGAAAACATATACATTAAATAGAAATGAATACAGATTCCAACGCATTTCCTTTAAAACTATCTAGAGTCTCTGATCCCCAACCCCATTGTCTGACAGCACCTCAGAAGTATTAAACTACTCCCTTTCTCCTCCCTGCAAATAAGACGGCAATCTTTAAAGAGCATTGAAATTTTTTTATTATTCTATTGGGTCATTATTTTCCCATTCCAGCAAAATGGTTGTAAAACTCTGAGGCTAGTTGTTCATTCAGAATTTTCTGCACCCCAGTGGGTTCTGATCTCTCCTGTGTTTTGACATTTAAATCAGAAAATATTTTTCAGAGCAACAACTTTCATCCTCTTCTTTGCTGTTCTGGTCTTTTGCCTCCCCCCCCCCCAACCCCCCCCTTCACAGGAAACAGTAGCTTATGCTTTTTTAGAGTGTATCTTTTTAAAATTCTGGATTTGCCTAAATACTAGATGCTGCCTATAAGCATTTACTATTGCTGTTTCAATTACTGACTACTCTACCTGAGGCTGCACGGCTTTCAGCCACAATCTTATAACTGTAGGTATTTACAATTTTCTGAAATACGTTTTTTGCACAGAAATATTCTTCACTTGATTTCTACCTGAAGGTAAAAGTAGAGAGACATCTTTATCAATTCTTTATTTTAAAAAACATCTGTAATGCTTCTCTATCATTTGTGCAACCCTGAAGCACTGATTTTAACACTGTTACTAAACATACAAAGTTTAAAGATCAGAACTGTAAGCTGTGAATCTGAACAAGTAGCCAGAAGGCTCTCACTTGTGGGCCAACTCTCTCTCCATACAGTCTTCTGAATAAAATTAAACTGCATGTTCCAGCCTGGTTATTCTTAACTCCTTCATTCACTGTTCTACTGTAACTTTTGGAGCTTGGGAAGTCAAAAGTAAGCGCGTGGGCAGCAAGACTACTGGTGACTGTCAGGCTCCCTCAAATGAGAAATGGATTACAGGCATCTTTGGCTCTCTCCATGTTGGCTGGACAAAGTCCAAGACACAAGTATCTGAAGAAGAAGGAGAGCAGTCTCCCAGGAAAAGCAGATCTCAAGTTACTCTCTGGCTTACTTCCTGCAGACACTAATAGCAAGCTTTTCTGTGATGCTACTATCAAATGCATACTGCTTTTAATATGGTACATTAAGGAAGAACTCAAAAAAATCTTTCCTGGCCATTAACCTAACCTAAACTTTATAATGTCTTCTTTTAAGGAGTTCCAAAGTCTATAAAAAACAGTGAGAAAAAAAACAAAAGGAAGAGTGAATTGTCACCCAGCTTGGTTTGATAAACCCCAACAACAAAGGATGCGTTGAGGCTTCGAAACAAGCTGTGGAGGACGAGACCCCCCCCAGCGCTGCCAGGCCCTTCGGCAAATCCTAGTCCTAATACAGAGTTCATTGTATTTCAGGGTTCTTTATAAAATGCTTTCCTACACACAGTTATGCATATTCTCTTCAACAAGATGATGTTTTTAATAACTAGCCCTATTGCTAATTTCTGTCTAGGTCTTTCTTCCTGTTTGCTGGGTAGCCAGGTCTATGATGTCAACAGTTACCTCCTTTGTCAAGAAAACTGCTTTTCAATCTAGAATCCATATCTTTAGGGATTTTTTCCAACCGTTTTTCACGCTCTTGAAAATGTCCTTCTCTATTCTTGTCCTTTGCTGAAAAAGTCTCTTTGCCATTATCTCTTGTTATGCTAAAATCTTTTCGAATTGATTTAAATACAGGGCCCTGCTCAAATGGTGAAGTGAGATCCTTTTGGATTGCATTCTGAATCTGAATTTCTTTTTCGCTGTCCAGTTCATGTTCTGTAACCCTCTTGCCCTCTTCCAGATGGTCTTCATCATGAATCGCTGAAGAAAGAGAGTCTTTTGGAGTGAAATTTTGATCGTCTTCGTTGTCACTCCCAACAACAGGTATGCCTGCAAGATCCCCAGAGTTCAGAAAATAATCATCATCATCATCATCATCATCCAGCAGCGAGTTTTCAGACCCTGTTCGATTCTGTATTCCGTAAGAGATGCTGTCGAGGGCAGGTGTTAAGTTGTGGTCAGTGTCCTCAGACATTTCTGCATCCAGAATTTCACCACCTAGGGAGGAAAAAAAAACATAACCAGTCAGAAAATTCACCAACTTTATGTATAGCAAAGCACGAGCATTAAATGTTATTTGCTAATCTGACTGATGCTGCAATTCCTTCAATACTCTAAGCCTCCTTGGGCCAACAGTACTGATAAAAACTTGCTGCCATAAGAAATGGTTCTGTCCCATTCACCACACAGCAAAGAAGCTGAACTGAGTAAAACTAACCAAAGAAAGAAAAACCATTAACTTCAATTCATCTCATTTGTAACACTTGTGGAGAAGGCAAGGCAGGGAGGGAATGAGTGGCAAGGGGTAGGAGAAAGGCAAGACAGTCTTTTTCAGCAGCTATGATACTTCTAAGAAATGTTTTGTGTAACTATGGCCTTATATAAATAAATAAAAATACTTACATTTTTCTGTAATATCAAATACCGCATCAGATTTATCTTCAAACTGTAAAAAGGAAAGCACTATATCATTATCTCGGTCAGCTGCCATGTACTTTTCTAAAAGTATCTGATCAAAACCAAAACCAACCAGAAGGATCACAATTCCTCTTCCTTCCTTTCTCGCCCCAAGCAAAGTTCTACAAACTAAGACTGTTACAGTATTGGGAAGTCGCATTTACCCTAACAAGTTCAGAAGTCCACAGAAAAAGCGCATTGTGAAAATTTAGAATTAGCGTTGCTTCCCAGAGAAGGCGGAGGAGAGAGGGGAGGCAAAGGGAATGTCAAAATTTTCACTTCTACATGAGAAACTTGTACAAGGTCAAGATCACAGATTCTGCCTTCTTTGACACTCTACAAGCCTTCGCTTCCTCTGAATGCTATAAATGGAAAAAATAGAATCACACACAGCTTCCACAGATCCAAAGGTTTCGTCTCCCTAACAGGGAACATTCCCTTTCCAGGAACAGTGAAATGCTTAACTTTCCAACAGCAACGAGACAACGGGCAACAGTATGAGCGTAACCAAAGAAGCACCAGATGATGACTCTGAGTGCTGTACAAAACATCTGTTTACATTAAACATTCTCTGACAGATGTTAAAGTTGACGGCATGCTTAAATGCTGTCTTGGAGAAGTATGAGAACTCAGCGTAATTAAAGGGTTTTTTTTTAAAATGTCCAACTCATTAGTATCCTCCCTTTCTGCCTAAAAGATAACAGCAATTCATTGAAGTCAGCTCTCCTTTCTCTACATCTCCAGCACTACACTTTCTTTTCTGGTAGATCCTGCTCACACTTCAATTCTTAAGCCATCTTAAGGAAAGTAATGGGATTTGATAGCAAAGGGATGATCTCTAATTTCATTTAACTCAAGTCATTTACTTGATAAATCGGATATTCCACAGGACTGTGATGGGGAACTATCAGTTTGGTAGCAGCCCACTCCGGGAAAGGATGACAACATACTGTCACAGGATTCATCCGATGGCAAAGAGTCCATCAGTCTCTTTCCAATATCACTACAGAGACAAGCCAGCTCCTTCAGCTTAACTACACACACACGGAATAGGGAGGACCTGTCAAGCATCGTGAATATCAAGACAATTTGATACTGCACCAAAACTTTCCAGCTTCTCTGAGCAGACAGTTGAGGCTGGAAAAGTGAAATACAGAACCAAAAGGAAAAAAAGAGTTACACTCTTCCACAAGGCCCATGCAAGTCTATTCACTGCAATTATCTAGAGGAAAAACCAGTAAGGGAACACATTCCAGGAAGGTTTGCAAGGCATGAGTTCTGTTACTGCTATAATGATCCCAGGAGCGTCTCCAGAGATGCAAGTTTAACGTTGATCTAGAAGTCCACTTGTAGCCACCTAAGTTTACACTAGTGTAAAATTAATCCCCATAAATATTGGATATACTTAGTGCCAATATCAGATGCTGAGGACAAGGAGAGTGGTGGTGTACCGTTTTTATGGAAGAAGAGAAAAAGGAATTTATTTCCATTTGATAATAATATCAGCGCGCGAAGCCTCGGGAGGCAAAACTGATAGCCTAGGTCTTTTTCTCTATCCTGACCTTCCTTGATCCTCTTCTCGCTTCTTGTCAGTAATGCTCTTTCTTCTCCAAAAAAGTCTCGGACAATTTGCTGGTAGGGCGAGAGAAGTTTTCAGTTGAGATGAAGCATCAGATCATCCTTTTCTCAAAGCAGGTTTGTATCAAAGTAGTTCTTTGACTCTCTTGAGATCCAGAGTATCTGTGGGAAAGTATTCTAGGTTCTACCACACTCCTGGTTACCTTGTACATCCAGACCCTAGGTATTCCTCCTCCTCTGGTGATAACAAATCTTTTACTAATAGGTGATAAAACCAGAAATGCTGTTATTAGGCAAAAAAGACATTTCACAGTCCGGACCTCTGTTTCATTCAAAATGACAACCCGCGAGTCAGCACAAGGAGCCGCCTGCAAGGGTGTGCTAGAGACTACCATAAATATTTTGGACAAGTTGGAAAATGTTTACAATCTACCTGGAAGGAAAACAAGACACTTCCCAAAAACAAGGTCATCCTAGGAAAAAGAAACTACTTTGTTTCTTTTCTCTTTCTTTTGTGAGGCTATCAAAAAAAGAGATCATCTTGAATATTTTCTGCCTTTAAAAGGCTTTAGGATACAAAGGAAGATCTGTGTCCTATGGTCAAAAGCTTCCACTGGAAATGTTTATAGAACAGGAACTTCAGCATCGATAAAACTAGCAGTCTTATCTAAGCCACCATCTAGTCTCTGATGGTGAACAGCATCAGAACTCCCACGTGGTGTAAATCCAAAGAGAAGGAACTAGAGGAAATGTTTGTATGCTTGTATGTGTGGACATACATGTATCTACATACACATAAATATCTCTCTCCCTCTCTCCCCAATAAATTAGCCATTCCACAACAGTCTATAACCTGAATAGGTCCTGAAATGAGGGTTCATATACTTTTTTCCTGAATTAGTGTGGGGTATTCTCTCAATTATATACACTTCTATTCCCTTCCTGAATACTATTCCAATCTTGTTTAATGCCATCTCAGGAGGAAATTCTGTATAGCACTAGTTACATAAAAATATATCACCTTAATCAGTCATATAAGTTGGCTTTCACTGGATTATGGTCTTGTATTACACAGAAATGTAAGTAATAATGCCCAACTTGCTATTTCTGTATTTTTCTATTATATTTCTGCGAGGCAATTCCCTCTCTCACCAGTCCGCATACTTCCTCCTTTGATTAGTCATCATCACTCTTAATTCCCTTTATTTCTTCTGCTCAGATTTGTTAAAATCTGATGATTAAAACAGAAAAAAAGTACTCTAGAGGCAAACATGAAACTGATTCATCGGATGGCATTTCCTGTGGGTCATTTTTGACAGATCTCAGAAGAGGCACCTCAATATCACAGATTAAGTCCCAGATAACTACAGAATGGAAAGTATCAGGAACGGAAAGTTTTCTGTTAAAATACTCTAGGCTTCAACTCCTCGACACAGCCCTCAAAACGCACTTGCTGTTGTAAAACAAAACTCAAGAATATCATATTTTAAAACACCATCAGGCAATCACTTCGGCTAATATTCTGCCAGAGAATAACTTAATGATACTTAGTACTTTTAAGTAGTGAGCATTCCCTAAGAGCTTAAGACAGGACAGTTTAAGTTTGATACTAGCAAAATGACAGGGTTTTTGATGTTTCTTTCTTAGTGACTCTGTCTCATCAGCTAGCATCGTACACAAAGCAATCTGCTGCCTACTCAGGTTGTAATAAATAACTAAATGAAACAAGAATGCAGAAATGGTGGCAAAACAATTAGGTATTCCTGGAAGCAATGTGCTTTGCTTTAAATTAACTACACTTTACATAAAGACAGTAGTGCTTTTATTAAAAAAAATATTCCAGTAGGTATGTCAATTTTTTTTTAAAATTGTCTATTAGATTCTAGGGAAACAGTGTTACATCCTCAGCACTAACCCGTCCTTACTTGGAGCGGGTGACACAAGGACACTGTTTACACTTTAATACAATTTACTAACTTGAAATAAATAAAAACCTCTTCAATAGTTTAACGGTGTTCAAAGTTGCCATAGATTTCATAAATCAAACAATTAACAAATTATTTTTGTGCAATATAAAGAGAAAAAGCTGTCTATGACTGCAACCTTGTTTTGGACGCAAAATAGATAATTTCTTTTAAAAAATAAACAAATCAATGTAACAACTTTACATTCACAGGCACATATCTTTCTAGCAAGCCTTCTGAAATTTTATCCTAGGTTTTACTGCATCCATAAGCAAACTGTGGAAAGGAAACAGATGTTAAGAAAACTGCAATTAAAAATAGTCAGAGATGATTCTCAGTTTCTCGTCTGTACAGTTTCCTTGTCCCTACACACACAGCATAACCCCTCACTTCAGAATTCATTAAACTGATAAGGAAGACACCATTTTTATTTTTTTTTAAAAAAAAGAAGTCATTTTGTAATTGCTATTCTTGAACCAGGTGTGGTGAGCTCAGGAAGCATCCCCTGACCTTTTACACATGACATCCCCGGCAGGGATGCCAGGCAGGCAGCCGGCAGCCGCCGCCGCACCTCTGCTACGGCAAAACTCCACCGCGCCAGCGGAATTAAGCAGCGAGTGTCTGCCGGAGAGCCGCTTTCCACCCAAACACCGACAGACCCAGCGATTCGTACCTTCGGAGCACCTGGGGAGGGAAGAGCAGAGGGTAACAAAGAGCCAGGCTGCAGCAGGTACCTGCTACAGGAAAGGAACGGCCGGCCAGCCGCGCCGGACAGACAGACGGCCGCCCACCCCGGGAACCCCTGGGGCTCGCTGGCGGGGAGCCGCGCGTTGGCGTCTGTCGGTGAGAACGGGTTGGGAGCGTGGGGAGAGGCAGAGCCCGAGCCGGGCTGCGAGGTGTGTGTCCTTGAGGGCAGCTAAGCCACGCTCCAGACTTCAAAAGATCCTTTTTAATCACTACTAGAGTCTAAGGGTAA